CGGAAGAGTGAAGGGTACAGCCCCGGGTTGAGAGATCTTGGGCAATTCAATGGAACAACAAGGAACTGACCTGTCTCAAAGGATGGAATATTCTGAAAGGCAAAGGCATAAAATGCAAATGAATATGCCAAGTCTGGGGAGAACGAAGGAGACAGCTTTTCTGTTAATTGACCATCTACTATGTTACCAAGTTTATGTATTTTATTTTATCCTCATAGGAACCTCTGTTGAGAAAACAGATATAGTGACTAGACCATGTAAATAAGTTGCAAACTAGAACTGCAAATCAGCCACTGATGCAGAATACAATGGAGTCCATGAAACTCATATTAGTTAACAACAGGATTACACTCAAAGCCAATGGCAACCAATCTAGTGCAGGATTACAAAAGAAATCCACATGGGAGCTTCCACAGAGAATAATCAAAGGATTAAGACAGAACTTTGGGAAGAGTGAGAGTCTTCTAACATTTTTGGAAAAACGACTTTTGATGATCCTACTTAAGTCAAACATAAGAGAAGGAAGCCATATCCATATGTCAACCAATTTTGCGAAAACATCCCAACACCACCCACATGTGATTCACTCTTTATTCTTAGAAATCAGTACAAAGCTGCTATCAGAATTTAACATGTTAAATTCAAATATAAACTATTATTTTGTTTCATTTTCCAAGATAAAGCCCCAACCAAACCTTTCTTTCCGCTATTTACTGAGAAATATTAGCACCTAAGTTAAAAAGATCTCTAAGTCCTTTTCTGGATAACAATCATCTATAGATAGATAATGAGGACTCCTGACATATGAAATGCATATATTCTCCTGAACATTCAGCTAGACATTGCTTCCACACTATCACTCCTGACAGTCATCACATAAAAACGAACTTGTTAATTCATACATGTTGACACCAGCCAGTGACATACAGGCAGCGACTACATATAAGACCTGTGTGTGCTTCTGAATGCTTACTCACTCAAAATTAACCTTAGGATACTTCTCAATGAATGATGTTCAAGCATGTTAACTTTAAACTTAATGTGGCACATAAATGTTTAAAAATTATAGGCATTTATGAATCTTCTTAAAATGTCTGGCTGGCTGTGTGAGGTTTATCTGGTCTGATGTTTGAAATTTAAGAAGTTTTTGCCTTAATATTCTTAAGAAGGTTAAAAATGGTTAACTTGTGGGTTAAAAACTAGGGGATGTCAGAAAGAACTACTGATGAAAATGTAAAGAAAAAAAATCAAACCCAAAAATGTAGAATGGAACTTGAGAAAGAGTCCACTGGACGGAACACTGAAGAAAGGGAAAGATGGCCTGGAATGAAAAGACAAGCAAAACTCCTGGGACGAATCCACAGAAGAATGCAAGTAATTAACAAGTACAATTTAAGTGTAAGGATGTAACAGAAAATACATCCTATGTTATACCTTTGGCCTTGTGCTGTCAGAAAAATTACTTTGGATGCTCAGTGTCCTTGCTTAAGTTTATTGAAGGGAAATGCCCAGTGAGTCCTTTATGTTGAGGTTTGACAATATTATGAAGCCATGGCTCCTGCTCTTTTCCTCCTGATTTTGTTTCAAGGAGTGTTTTGGGATGGAAAAAAATGAGAGCTTTGGAATCATGCAACCTTGTGTTTAAACCTCACTCCTGCCTCTTATGAAGCACATCTCCTTGGGAAGATGACTCAATTTTTATAAATCTTGATTTTCTCATCTGTAAAAAGGGGACGATGGCATCTGACTCAATGGGGTACTGCTGTAAGGATTAAATGAGATAAAATACATAATCACAGTAGCATAGTAGATGCTCAATCAGTGGGAAAGCCCTCTCCTTCACTTTCTCTAGACTTGTCATGTTTGTTTGTGCATTAATGCCTTTGCTTAAAGTACTCTGTTCTTCAAGATCAGCTTAAATGTCATCCCTTCCATGCAGCTTTCTTGAATGGAACCACAGCAGCCAAGCATAATGCTTTCTACCTGCAGAGAACACCACACTGCTGCCCTTCACTCAGGCAGGCTCGTGACAGCGCTTTGTAAAGGCAATAGAGGGGGAAGGAGATAGAGGATGTCCCTCACTAAAAGGCAAAACCTCAAAACTTCCCGCCCATACCCAATCTCAGAAGCTGCTGTCAACGCCAACAAAACAAGAGAATAAACCAAGGAAGAGGCAGGCACGGGGCCCAGGGCACGGGAAACCGAACAGAGAAAAGACATAGAAGGAATTCCCAGGATGATGGTGATGGGAAATCCCAGGGTGTCAGCTATGCAACCAGCCTGCCAAGTGACCAGTCCGGATAGGACCACAAGGATGAGGGCTGCAGGAGAAAGAGCCAAAAAAATAAACAAACAATAACTTGAGTCATTATCCGGTAGGTTTGACAGCTCTGAGAAGAATGTTATAGTTCTGAACAAGAACATGAAATGTGATAGTTATATAGCAAACTAAAGTGTGTGTATGTGTGTGTGGGGTGGGGGGGGGGAGAATGTAATTATTAACTCCAGAAAAAAAACAAAGTTACACCAGAATTGTATAACATAATCAGGTATGGTCTGCATGGCCCAGTTGAGAAGAGTGACAGCCATAATAATGTAAACCCTAATCTAAGCAATAATTGTGATATGACTATACCGAAAAAATGTAGAGATGGGAAGTGGGGAGGAGGGGGAAAGAGGACTATGAGAACAAAATCTTCAACTTCCATAGCAGGAAGTAAAAAAAACATTATGGACTAAAGATATGAAGCAGCAGTATAAACATGTTATTTAGAAATCATTCACAGAAATTTAGAAATATTCACAGAGGTGGCTAGCAGAAGAAAC